CTCAATTGGTGATAGTGAGTTGCTGCTCTCTTCAGAGCTAGACCCAGACACAGAGGCGGACTCACTCCCGTCTCCCTCAGAAGCAGCTTCATCCGCCTCCTCAGCGCCAGATACAGAGACGGCTTATTCACCGTCTCCATTTTTAGATTCGAGGATCCCGTCACTTGGAGTGCTGGGTGCACCCATAGGGGATCCTCTTGCTTCCTCAGCCTGTTTTACCTTAGGCGGCGCACCTTCTATGCATACTTCCCTATACTCCGGATCTACAGCCATTCATCTTGTCCTAGCCATAGTGTCCTGCACAGACACGAAGACGGTCGGATTGGGAGATGAACAAGAGTGATCCAGGCACCCAGAGGCGGCACCCCCAGTCCTAAACTCAGCCGTACCAGGTGACCGCCTGCCTACTAAACTATGTTTGTGTCGTGTGTGCTGTTGAAGAACCCATACATGGAATGCTATGTACACAAATGGAAATATACGAAAGAGCTGAGAAGGGGAGAGACGGTACCTTAAAGATGAGCTGAAAAGTAGTCAAGCGTTGACCGGCTGAACTAGCAGGCAGAAATCAGAAAATTGCTTACAAAAGGCTTAGACGGTTGACCGAATGTACCCCCCTGGAATATGGAGAAATGCTTACAAACCCCATAGAAGGTTCTCAGAAATTTTCCTGTCTGTCAAAGGCACAGACGTTTTACAGGTTGTAACCCCTTAGAAAGCAAGAGAATTCTGACAGATACTCAGACGGTTCAGATGATCCCCCGTTTGAGAAAAATGCAGGCGGTAGCCCGGCTGTGTCTAACAGAATGAAGGCAATTGCTTGAAGGATACACAGGCGGTTGTCAAACGTTTTCTCTTTAAAAACGGTTGACTCTTTCTAAATTTTGGAAATGACCAAAAATGGGAAGGGTAAAAAATCTATTTATAGGAGGGTTATTTCAGGGGTGTTCCTGTAATTCTCCTAGAAGGTGAACAGTTAAAACTGTTCACCAGTATCCTAGGACTAGTGTCACAGGTGCCACGTGGCACGCCACGTCATATCTGTGAGGGGGAAATGTTTTGGGTAAAAATACCCAAGGCCACATGGCCCAATAAAATGGTGACACGTGTCACCTTAAGGGAGGTTCAAAATGAACTAATCCTTTACTGACATGTGGCATCCCCAATCATTAGGAAAAAGGCAACCCTCAAGGCCCAATTCCCGGGATAGCCTACCATTCCTAGGTTTCCGTAACCTAGGATGGCGACACACATCCCAAGACCCTATAAATAGGGAGATATTCCCACATGGGAAAGGCATTCAGAGATATACACAAAACATTCACTGAAAACAGAGCAATCATTAATTGCAGATATTTACCTATCACCTCAGAGAATACCCTCGATCTTTACTTTCTGCGCTTTTTACATCATCTGAACACGTTCTAACTTGATCATCAGAGGCGGAACTCCACCCCAACGGAGTCTCCGTTGTTTTGCAGGTACAGGGGCCCGGAATCTAGTTTTCGAATTGTAACTCTCCCGAGGGACACTGAAAATCCCGAAACAATATTGTTTTCTCTTTTTATATATTTATTATTAAAGATTTACTCTTTTGTTTTTGATAATATATAATTAACACTCATTAAGTATCAAATTTATTTAAACATGGTAACTTTGTTTGTAAATTCTATATTAATAAAATACATTATCGAGTTGCTCACGAGCTTATCGAGTCGAGTTAAAGCTTGCTCAACTCGTGCTCGTTAATATCTCGAGTCGAGTCGAATTCGAGTCGAGCTAACTCGAGTTGAGTTTTGACCGAGTCGAATTCGAGTTGCTCGCGAGCTGCTCAACTCGATTAGCACCTCTATTTACTGCTATGTTGATTTATTTTCAATTATTTGGAGTTACAAACTAGAATAAGTTAATTTTCTTATTCTAGAATGTAACTCCAAATAATTTATCACCAACTATTTTTATTCTAGTTCATAACTCCAAATAATTTATCACCAACTATTTTTAATTTACAACGGTATTCTTATGAACTGAACTAGTAAATGATTAAATAAAAGATAGTAAATGATACAACTATATTCTTATATATGAACTGAACTAGTAAATGATTTTATAAAATAGTTACAAACTAGAACAAGGAAATTCTTATGATTTCCTTATGAACTGAACTAGTAGTTCCAAATAAAATAGTAAATGATTAAACATACAATCAATCAAAGAAAAATTCACATGATTTTTTTTTATAAAATAATTAAAAACTAGAACAAGGAATTCTTATGATTTCCTTATGAACTGAACTAGTAACTCCAAATAAAATAGTAAATGATTAAACATATAATTAATCAAAGAAAAATTCACATGATTTTTTTTGAAGTTTATTTTTCAACCGTGAGATTTTGTTTTTTCAATTTAGAGCATTATTTTTTACTACAATAAAATTCCTTTTTATTAGACAGTAGACAATTTAAAAAAGGAAAAATTAGAAAATAATCCCAACTTTGGATTATTCTGGAATAATCCTAACTTTGGGGTTGTTGATTTTCTTCAATCCCAAACCGGTCAACAAAAAGTCAATGACCTATTATAACAGGTTATGTGCCACGTGGCAAGCTGCGGTTGATCCAAAAGATAAGAAAAATTAAGAAAAATAATAAAATTTAAAAAAAAAAAAAGGAAAACCCAGAAAACCCTTATCCCCTACCCGACCACCGTAACCCCCCCCACCACCTGCCGCTAGACAGCCGCGCCTACCCCTCCGTTCTCCTTCCCCAATGCTGCGTTGCTTTCCCACCAATCCCCTGTGCTGACGTTGCGACCCACCTCCACCCCAAATCCCCTCCTTTTCCGATTCAGTTTTCCGCCTCTACAACCGAAACTCCCTTTAAACCCCTCCAACCATTCGAAACCCCCTCAAAACCCCTCCCCCACTCCCGAAAACCTCCAACAGCCACTTCCTCACCGTCGAAAACCCTAGCCGCTAGGGTTTCGGGGTAAGGAGTGGCGATTGGAAGTTTTCGAAGTGGGGAGGGATTTTAATGGTGATTGCGTAGGGGTTTCGGGGAGGGGGGACAGTGGTTTAGAGGGAAGCAGCCAGAGCGGCGACTTTAGTGGTGGGGGAGGGACGACGGTCTGGCGAGGGAGGAGGCTGGGCTGGGCGGGTTACCGAATTTCTTGGGGTGGTTGGGATTTTGGCTGGAGTGGTTTTTTTTTGTTTTTTTTTAAACAATTAATTTGCGACACGTGTCATTTTAACAAAAAAAAGTAAATTAACCCTTTCAACCAGTAATCGGTATTTGGGATTGAAGAAAATCAACAACCCCCAAAGTTCGGATTATTCTAGAATAATCCAAAGTTGGGATCATTGAAACAAATTGTATGAAAGTTGGGATTATTATTTCTAATTTTTCCTTTAAAAAATGAAAGTAATTGCACTACTTACAATTTGCATGTGCCAATATCGAAAACAAGAGAAATATTACAACGATAGACAAAATGATGCTTGATTTCATTGTTATTGATAAAAAAATGGAGAGCGAGATTATTATTAAACCCTATAACTTAAAAAGTGTTAGAGGAGATGGTGAAAGAATGGGGAATTGGAGTTGTGGAGCAGAGGAAAAGAAAAGTTTCACATGTATTAGTTAAAAATCACAAACAACAGATCAATAAAGTACCATTAATCAGGTCCGACCTTTAGCATGTGCAGGGTGAGCAATTGCACAGGGCCCATAAGTTATTAGGGCCTCAAATCAATTTAAGCATATAAGAAATCAGTTATTATCATTTTAAGAATTTCTGTGTGTAGCTCAATGGTCTAATAATGTTGTGGCTTTTTCTCAAGCAGTTTAAGGTTTGATTATTGTGACTGTTACTTTTTTTTTTTTGGTACCTACACTTGATTTTCTTATCCCCACATGACACAATAATAAATGTCTACTAAGTTTTAAAAATTCTTCACCCTACTATCTCATCACCAATAAGCAACACTCCAAAATCATACACATCTAACAAATACATTGATTCAAAATCAAGGAAAGCATATCAGCAAAAAGTATAAACAAGGAAATTTTAAGTAAAAAAGACCACATTTTATTTGCTGGACTAATAATATCCAAAAAAGCGAGAAAGGGTTTGATCTTATCTTTAGGTATCAACCCTTAAAAATTTTAACAAACTTGATAAAGCATCCACGATTTGCTTGTAATTGTGATTGTTAAAAAGTTGCATTTAATTTTATATTATCAATTGAATAAGGGCGCAATTTATATTTCATCGCACCACGGAGCCTCCATATACTTTGGGACAGCCCTGCCATTAATCCATTATTATGATATTTTAAAAGTATATATTGAGACATAATTATTTAATTTTCCTTATTTGATAAATTTTATTTATTTATTTATTTTTTATAAAAAAACTACATACTCTCTGTTTTTTAAAAATGCATCACTTTGATCGAATTGAAACATTTGCCGAGATGCAACTTTGACCTTTAATATCTATAATTTCTGAAAAGTAAAAATGTAACAAAATTATAATCTATTAAGTTATACTAAAAGCGAATAACCAATGACACTTGTCATTATCTTGTGAAAAATTTTCCCGCCTATTTTGCTGTTTTTTTTTTTTTGGCAAAATATTTAAGTAAACTATTTATACCTTATGATATTTTCTTTTCAGTTTGATAATCATATTCTATATATACCCAAATAAAATATTTCTGCATACCTTTTATATACTTTGTACAGAGTATTTTGTAATACTATTATCAAAAATATTTATCAACCGTGCATTGCACGGGATTTTAACCTAATATGAAAATATACATTGTGACTAATCTAATGATATATCATATAATAACATTTATTTACTTTATAAAAGTAAAAAAAATAGGTCATGGATGATATGTGAATAGTGCAAAAGTCAAAATGACACATTTTAAAAAACGGAGGGTAATAAGAGTAAAAAAGTTTGGCATTGCAATAGAAAAATAAACGAATAGTATACTATATAATTTACACTCTCGACTTATTAATAAACGAGGGGGTGTAGCTCATATGGTAGAGCGCTCGCTTCGCATGCGAGAGGCACGGGGTTCGATTCCCCGCACCTCCATATTTCAACAATTTTTTAATTACTTTATTTTCTCAACCCTTTTATAATATCGACTTTAATTTTATTTTTTTTTTCTAAATCTTTTTATCCAGTCTGATGACGTGGAATATGGCAATCTCTTTAATTCAACCTCTCATTCGTCATCCTCTTCTTATAAACTCCCTCCCACTCACAGAGGAGAGAGAAAGTAGAGCTTCTCCAATTTCTGCCATGGCACTCAACTTTACTTCTCCACTCATTCTCTCTCCTCCCTCCAACTCTCACCACCATAAAACCATGTTCCTCTTCCTTCTCCGAAACAATCTAGAACCTTCCTTTCCTTCTTCTTCTTCGTCTTCTCTCAATTTCTGGAATTCTTCCGCCATTAATTTCGCTGTTCGAGCTTCAACCAGTAACGCTCAAAACGACGTCGCTGATGAAGAAGAAGGAGGAAGAGGAGAGAAGGTATTGTTGGATGATGAAGCGATTAGTCGAGCTTCGAGTATGAAGTATGCGAGTGAAGTTCTTCAAATGATTGTTGAAAGTAGAAGTGAAAATGGCGGAATTGGAGGTGTTGTCAGTTGCGAGGATTGTTGTAGAATTATTAATTCTGCAATTTTGTGCAATAATTCTGATTTGGCTCTCTCTGTCTTCAATGCTATGCGTTCTTCGGCTTTCGATCAAGGTATTATGTAAACGATTTTGATATATGCAGTTTTATCGCCGATTATAGTTATTTTATCAGTGTTGTTACTGTTTGATTACTGATTAATCTTTTTATTTGCATGAGCTTTATACATATAATTCATTTGTTCAATGATTTCTGCTAATTGTACAATCATATTATAGGCGTTATTTATGTTTGATTAATAATTAATCTTATTTGCATAAGCTTTATATATTATTTTCAATTTTCCGATAATTTCTGCTAATTACAGGAAGAAATGAAATTAGGTTAGTTTTCCAATAAATTATATCTCTGATTCGACTGATTGTTCCACAAGGAGTTTTGCGGTTTTGCCACAATTTACATTCTAAGTTTAAACTTGTTGAATTTTTTCCGTACAATATCAAGTTTTTATAATTAATAATTGGGAAAATGGAAACTAATAATAATGGTCAAAATTAGAGTTAAAGTGGAACAACTGAAAAACAGAGGAAGTATATCAAATAAATATTCAAGTAATGATGGTTGAAGTTTAGAGATGTAAAATGTAATGTTGTCTAATGTTAAGTGCTTAATGTTTCGACTTTTAGATTCTTATATTTAGCTCTTATGCTTGCTTTGCATATATATTTTTTGCAGTTCATTGGATATATATGGAATCTTGTGAAGTAGTACAATTATATGATGTGAATTTGGTTGAGTTTTTGTTTAAGCATGGTTGTATCTTGTAATCTTGTATGGTATGAATATTTGCTATCTAAGTTGCTCCTGTATTGCGTCATGATCTTATTGGCATTAACGCTTTATAAGTAGTAAGTATACATGAGTTATCGCATTGATTGTGGATTGTAAAATTGCAGTCTTAAAGGAGAATGGTGGCGTTGTTGCGAGATGGAAATGGCCAAGGCCGGATTTAAACACTTACACAACATTAGCCATTGGTCTAGCTGCTTCATTGAGGGTAACCGATGCCCTAAAAATCGTTGATGAAATGTGCCGAGTTGGACTTTCTCCTGGGGAAGAGGTTAGAGCTAGCCTTAATTTGCTTAAATTTGATAATCTTGTAACTAGATATGGTGTTTAGTGGTGTACTCTTTGGTGAAGCGTACAAGAACTTATTTTATCCACATAATTCTTGGGATTCTGTACTTAACATGGTGTGATTTGTTAAATAATGGTGTTTGTATTTGCAGGTCCCTTTTGGTAAGATAATAAAATGCCCGACTTGCATGGTTGCTGTTGCTGTTGCACAACCCCAACAGGGTATTCAAGTATGCATGTCAAGGTCTCTTGTGGTTTTCTGATACATTGCATCAAAATTGAAGTCAAGAGCTCATATATATTACAGTCATGGCAGTACTCTTTTTTTTTTGGGGTGGGTTGAGGGACTGAAAAAGCATATAATAACACCTCACTCAAGTTTTCAGACACCAATTCACTGTAACAGTCTTAGACAATATCAGTCACTACTAATGTAAATCAAAAGAATTCAGAGAATGCACAATTAATATTACCATATATCACTCTTGTTTGGCCCTGATATGAAGTGCTTGGTTATCTATATGCTATTAGATTGCTCAATTAATTTCCATATGATCTTTTGTAGGTAGTATCTTGTGCAAAGTGCCGCTACCAGTACGAGCTTGTTTCTGGAGATATCGTTAATATTGAGTCAGAAGAAATCAGGTTAGCATATAAATCTAGTCTTCAAGTCCCTAATACGAAGTATTAGCTTTGTAATGTCTAGACTTGATACTGGAAAAGAATTATGCTGTTTCTCCATTCTATGTTGTAATAAGCATAGTTTACAAAATACTTTTAAAGGTGTTGCCAGGAATATTTAAAATGAAAAAAAAAAAAATAAAAAAAAAATAAAAAAAAAATAAAATAATAATAATAATAAATAAATAAATAAAAAAAGAGCTCCCTGCATTTGTTTTACAGTTTTCTGAAAGAAAAAGTATGTTTTGTGGTTTTGATCCTGTTACATTTACTGTCTCTAAGGATCTCATCCTGCCGAACGCAGCATGGATATTCCAGCGTGGAGAAGATGGCTGGGATTTCTTCGAACAAAAAAGCAAACAATTCCTTCTGCTGTCCATTCTATTGTGGTATGAAACTCTTACACAATATCTCTAATTCACTGAAAAACATGAAGATTTTCGGTAGTATGATTGTTTTGCAAGGTGTATTGTAATTGTTTTTTCTTTGAAAGTGATCTTATAAGTTACATTTACATTTTCAGATCCAAACCCCATCTGGAAATGCTCGCACACATAGATTTGCGACTTCAACACCTGATGTCCCAGCACAGCAAGGAGAAAGAGTCACTTTAGCCCTAGCAGCTCCATCAAGTGTCTTCAGAGAGGTTGGTCCCATTAGAATTAGTCCTAAAGCCCCAAAGTATTACCCTTCAGAACCTCTTTGCTTGACAAACCATCGAGACAGCCGTGAATCTCTTCTTCTAAGAGCCCCTTCTGCAGATAGCAAACCATCTTTGCTTAATCCATCCGTTGTCCTTCCACTTCTTGTGTTACTGGCCTCTGGAGATGCTGCCTCTGGTTTTATTAACCCCAGCTTGCCTCAGCTCTTGCCTGCTGCAGCTGCAGCTTCTTTTGCCATAGGTGCCACTTTAAACACGGTGGTCTTGCCACAGTTGGGGCAGGTAAGCCTATGTATGCTCATGCTCTTAAGTGTGCCTTCGATTATTTTTTCCCTTCTCACTTGTTTGGATGGGGTACATGACTACATTCCTAGCCCTAATAGAAGTATATAGCAGTGGTTCAGGACGGTCATTTATTCTTTAATTCTCCGGAATTTCGTCTCATTTTGTTTGGTTATCAACACACCAAAAAATCTAGAATCAAAGTATAGTAAGATGTAAAGAAGGAATCAAGTAACTTCCTCTGTCTATAATAAGAAGTAAAGAAAATTATGTCAAGCCAAATCTTTTTGTACGTGAACAAAAAATATGACTCTCATGTAGTCTCTGCTTCCAGCTGCCTCAGAGGATGGCAGACGCAATTGCTATAAAGCAGCAACTTCTGGCACAGTACGATTTGCTTCAGTCTCGCATCAAGGATCTTAAAGATACTGCTGAAAATGAGGTATGTGGAATATAATGATCCCTCTACTGATACTATGTAGATTGATTCTAAATTTGTAGATTGTGATCACCTGATGAACATTCAGAAGAGAAACAAAAGAAAATCAAGTAATAATGTCTTGATTAAAGTTCATGGCTTTCAATCTTTCATAATTCCTGAGCATTATAATTTCAACATGAGTTAAAAAAAAATGAATGGAGCTAACTGTGAGTCTTGTTCACATGTTTTCCTTCGTTGTGAACTGGCTAGCTTTCTTTGTAGAAAATTCTTTGTGAGACTTGGATGAGCTCTTTGATAAATCAGGAGTTGTTACAGATTGAATTGGTTGGTTTTGATAGGATGAAAGAGAAGAATTTTATTTGGTGAAATGCAGTTATGACAGTCTTATAATGTGTTTTAGCTGGAAAGATATGGTCGATTTTTTAAGGATGTAACTATTCTGCGTGATTTGCTATGGAATAATATGACTATGCTAGCTTCTTTATGGGCTAATGCAGCTTGAGCTTTAAGTTGATTTTAGAACCTTTTTTTTTTTCCCCTTGAAAGCAAATAAAATGAATGGAGGTCTTTTGATGTATTAAAATCGTGGTTATTTTTTACGGGCATTATAGTTGATTTAAGTTGGTATTTAGAGGTTCTAATTCCTGTGTTCGCTTTATTCGAGTTCCATATTTCAGATACCATTCTCGTGATACCCATTTATCTAGTATTTACCAAGCAAATAAAGGAAACAAAGACTTGCAATTACTTCATGTGATGAATTAGTGTACTGAAATTTTAATGACTACGTATAGTGTGGACATAAGAGAATGAAAGAAGAGTGAGCATCAATGTATTAATCTACTTTAGTATCATGGATTTGGTATGAGCTTGCATACAGTTCGGTTATATCAATGAGCCAAAGATCACATTCTCTTAAATCAATTTTTCTTTAGATTGTTCATTTGTTTGATATCAAGTATAACTTTTCTCTCCTGCCAGGTTTGGATGTTGGCTCGAATCTGCCAGTTGGAGAACAAAATTTTTGCCGTGGGTGAACCTTCTTACCGGTGATTACACTGAAAAAGTTTCATAACTATTCATTGGTCTTATGAAGTTGATATATTTTAGAGAGTTGATGTAATACCTTTTTCTTACAGTGCTAGAAGAAATAGAATCAAAAGGGTGCGTGAAGGTCTGGAAAACTCCCTTAAAGGACGTATGGAGCTTATTGATAGCTATGCCAGGGTATGTTCTACCACTTGAATATTACAGAGCTTGTATTATGTTCATATTACATTGTTTCAACACTTTTTTTTCCTGGTTGCAGATATCTTCTATGATAGAAATTGAGGTGGAATTGGACACAGATGTTCTTGCAGCCGAAGCTTCTAGCAATACGGTGAACATCAGTTCAACTAGATCTCCTGCTTTCCCTTCCTCCTGTGCGAAATAATCTTTTCAATAAGATTTACTAGTATAACACTTTCATTATTTCTGTTTACAGGAAAATATTGCCAAACAAATAGAGCAACTAATGGAATTGGAAAATCTTGAAGAGGTTAGTCTCGGATTTCACATTCCTTCCTATCACATATCCTGGGGCTGAATCTTGCAGTACTGTATTTAGAATGCTTGTTTTTTCAATCGAATGCATTACCCACTAGAATAATGTTCTCTAAGGTTATCACTAACTTGCTGCTCTGGCATTTTTCTTCTGTACATTCTTTGTTAAATCAGCGATGGAGACAGCAAGTTGAGGCAAACGATGAGGTAGAAAGGCTCCTAAGCAATGAATCACTATCCTCAGAACAGGTCTGAGGCAAGGTGCAAATTTTCAAATCGCAACTATCATTCACTGGATACAAATTAGGTGTTTGTCCGTCTGTTGAATAGTATTTTGCTATACATCGGTGTGCTAACGAACAATCTGCAGATTACCTTGCAATTACGAGTGATCAGAGTCTAAGATAGGATCTTACATCAAGGTGCCGGAACATATTTTAAATTTGAACGTATAGCAGCGCCAAAATTTTCATTACACTTCTCTTTTTTGTTGCATAAGATGTTTATCATTGTATTTTTTTATTTAATACTTCGTATAAAGTATATAAATAAATTAGATATCTAAATTGTTTTATACAAATGGTAGATCAGTAGCACATTAGAAATTTTATTGACGATTGCCAGTTTTTCCTCTTTTAGATGTTCTCGTTTTGATTGTTGTGTAAAAACACTAAGTGCCAAGAGATGACGTCACATCCAAAAAAGTAAAAAATACTGAATAATAATTCAACGAGCACACATTGGAACGCAATTTGATCAGACTCATCCAAAGGCCTTGAGAAAGCCAAGCATAAGAGAAGAGCAACTGAAAAAGTTTAAACATGCCTTACTCGATACAATAAATTGCAGAGCCTGAATTCACTAATTAAACAACAAAATAGAGCATCTATCATCGGGAGTACATGAGTAATGTTGTGAGGCATTCTCCAATTGACAGTTAATTCACAAATAAAACAGACCAACCCAGCCTTTCCCTGATCTCATAGAATCAAGTGGAGTTGCTTACTTTCTTCTGCTGCGCCTTCTCTATGAGAGGCTTCAACTGCTTCTTCTCCGCAAGAATCTTAAGGAAATTGAACAAAAATGGAATATAATTATGCTTCCTGCGAATGTTTTCTGTTCTCCACTTCTTGAACTTCTCCTCCTCCATTACAATCTTCTCTGTAGCAGCTTCAATACCAACATTTACTTCAGCGAGTTGCCGGTTAAGTTCTTCAAGTTTGGTGTTTTCTAGTACCTCTGCAGTCCCTGTCTGTGCAGCAGAGAGTTGTTGTAAAATGCGCTCTCGTTTCCTCTGACACTCCTTAAGCTCCACAGTATACAGCTCTTTCCTGTTTTTGATGACGGCCAAAAGATTAAACCTTATCTCGTTCTTTGAGTACTTCTCAATGCGCTCTTGGATGACAGGCTGAACCTTTTGCAGCCAGTCCGAGTCATTTTGTCCCCCAGTGCAAGGGCCAAGGCTAATGGGCCCCTCCTTCAGCCCATCTAGCTCGTACAAGACTCCTTCATAGGGTAAATAGCTTATAAAATGGTAGACATCATCGTCCTTGGTAGCAGTTTTCTGCTCTTCGGGGACAAAGGGCTCAGGTCTAGCAAAACTATTATGTGCTGTGCGAATGGCTTCACTGTTGTTAATAGCCAGACCTTTAAGTTCGGATGGAAAATTCTTGGTAAACTCTTTCAGATTTGACAGCTCTGGGCCAACATCAACGTCCGGAGAATTTAGAAGAATAGATAAAATTGCTTGCGTCGCACATGCATTGTTAATAACCTGGAAAACAAGTTCAGCACAAAATTTACTACATGCTTTTCCCCAGAAAAATAAATTAAAAATAAATTTTTTTAAATAAACTACTCGTACTTAAATGCTTACCTGGCTAGCAAAAAACAAGTTGGGATTTGGCTCCTTGATGACAGCACGGTCATCTTTTTCCCCAGGACGCCACTTAAACAGGAATATCAACCCATATACAGGCCTGTTATTGGTAAAATATGAGATTCAACATGCATCACTATTTTGCATGAATAAAAATTTTGATAAACAGGAAGATCATTGATGTGTATTCAATGACACTAGAGACGACAACTCACCGCAGACTGTCCAGAGTCTCCAGATCTAGGGAATACAGTTCTTCAACCTGGATCAGCATAATATCAGAGCATAAATCAGTACATGACCACAAAATATTCATTGTTATCAGTGCATCAATCAAGTGTCATTTATTCAAACAAATCAGTTTGCAGAGCCCAATTCATCGTACAAGTGCCAAAGCTTTAATCAGGGACAATGTAAAAACCTCATGTCTGCATCAATCTGAACCTTCTAGATTTTTAATTATATCCAGAAAGCCAGAAGCAACCAAAACACCAGTAAAAAAGTAAGCAATAATGTCCTCTACATCAAGTTCAATACAAGGCAGGTTTTTTCCAACAAGCTAGCTTGGTTCTGATTTTGAAACTAGTAAATATTCATAAATAATCAATTGATTGGAAGCAAGAAAATCTTGTTCTAATTTAGGTAATTCATACTTTTACTTAAAAAAATTCCCTATAATACTCCATAGCTTCTTTTGCTTTTAGCCAATTTACTAACATCTATTATTAAAAACCCAAGTCTTTTCTCTTATCAAGAATAACACATGTAGCTTGATATCCTAGTCCCAAACCCTAGTAACTAGTTGATGAAAGTCGGTGTGGCTTTGTGACTTTCCAATTCCTTAAAAATAAAACTAAAAACCACACCTGAAGCTGATTTTTAGCTGGAAAAGTTAAATGAGCCATAAAGACATTTACGTCATGAATGGAGTAATTTGTTTATAGTTAATCAAGACCAAGTGCCTCATTAATTGGGGCTTTATTCTTACACAACAAAACTCATACTCATATGACCTCCGTGTAAGAACTATATATGGAATTAATAACCAACAATACTCTGATTAGAGATATTGAGAGATTATACCTGAACACCCTTCACTTGCATTTGCTGTATAAGTTCCGTAAATACACCTGAAATTCAACACGTCAGTTGCATTAATAATATTGAAAGAACCATTCAATTGAACATCCAGCAAGGAAATGAAGAAAAATTCATGGTTATACAAGCGATTTATTATTTACAGATACATTCCAAAACAAAGAAATTTCAGTAAAGTAATAATCGGAAATATCTCACAGATTAATGATTCAGGTGTTCTGACCTGAGTTTTTCTACATAGGTAGGAAGCGTTAAATTTTAGTTCAAATAATAAAGTGTTAAAATAACAGTCAACAGGAAATTATTAGGTCATAAATCCCTCATTCATTGCAAAAATACAAATTCCAAATAAAAGCACACGACTTCCCTTCCTTGTCAATGTTATCATTGACTTTTACACTTTGTGTAGATCTCAAATCACCTAAAACTAATCGACAACAATATTGCTCAGCATCACCGAAATCTAGGTTCATTCTGTTTTTTGTGCTCATCTTTTAATTGTTTTAGCTGCTAAAGATGAGAAACTAAGTAAGGTAACCCAATAAGAGGCTTGTAACCAAGACCAATAACAGAGAAACGAAACATCAAATTAACTAACATGTCTCAGGAGGTTTAATCCGTGTAGCAAAAACAAAAAGTAAACATGAACCCAACCACTAGATCAGTACTGCCTTCATATATATGAAAGCAGCCCTACACCAGGAAATATCCATCTTTGGTTCCTACCATACAATCACCGATGAATCTATTACTGCAAAAATCACCACTGGCATAAAACTTCATTTTGTATCACTTAGTACATCACAAACAGTCATCCCTAACTATAGAAAATCTTCCCTATTAACAATTATGGAAACCACTAGAAGGAGAAGTTTAAGAAATTCATTTAGTCATAGTTTCAAACTTTCAATAGCATCTTTTGTAAATGACAGTGGCTAGATCTTCATTTATCCATTAGTCGCATAATGCCACATGAGGCCTTGGCAAGTATGAGAAAAATAGATCATTGGGGAGTTCTCCCAAAGATCAATCTCTTGTCTCAGATCTCGGGGAAGCACTTGGCTGCAAGGCTTCTAAAGTCTGGTCTGTTCAGTAGCCATAGAATGGGAGAAAGGAGAGACACGAACAAACAGAAGAACTAAGAAAGCAAAACAATGGTCAAGCATTAAGCTTGTCCTGATGAAAGCAAAACGATGGTCAAGCATTAGGCATACAGGAGTTTGTGGGAAGGGAAATAGAGGAAGGCAATAAAACAGGTATATAAAACAATTAACATAATGAAGTAATAGGACAAACTACAGTCCTAGGGGCTTTTTTTCTTTCTTTTTTTTCATGGAATTGAGATACGTTCATGTTGAGCACATTTCAAAACACTAGAACAAAAGTCAGGTATGGATTCCGTATTTCCATGCAAAGTCATGTCACTACAAGTGCATTAGTGCAGCAGCAATAATGCCAAGTAAAATAGCTCATTTTTCCTACAGCTAAGTCACTCTTTCCCGACGAATGAAAGATCAATTTCGCTACCACAGTCTACTATTTGTTCCATAATCATTCGGCAAATTTCCTCTATCCTTCAAAATTAAGTACTCGCACGAATTTAGTAATGTAAAACTCTCACTAGTTCGATAATAACTGCATATCAATTGATCCATTAAAGAGCCACACCACATTACCAAACAGAATCGACAAATCCAAGCTTTAAATGCAAACCATATAAGGCCAGTTTCGTCATCACAAAAACTCCACTCAAGAAGAGCTAGAGTAGTATATAAACAAAAGAATTGCTAGAATGATTACCGGAATTCTAGGAGGAAAAAAATCAAATAATAATTAAGCTGGTGCAGCCCTTACACACTTACTTGTTTAATGATTAGACATTTGAATTCAGAAAGGAATTATCAGCTAAACAAGTATGAAACAATCCGCACAAAATCAGAATTTGGAAATCAACTTAGGATTATTTGGATGATAAGCATTGACATAACAAAGTCAAGATTTGAATTCTCGTGTTATACGCTAAAGCAACAAGATATCAAAAAATCTCTACAACGGATTCAACCCTCACAAAAGATGCAAAAAAGTCATACCAGGATCAGACTCGATTGTGCACCACGACATGATTGTAGACAAATGACCTGTGAAGAAAAACAGAAACAAATATAAATCAATACCTTCCCCAAATATATGTCTCTCCGTCATTTTAGGATCAACTCGAAAAAATGTCAGTCACTCCACATTTTACTCAGACACTCATGCAATTTGTCCTAATAAGAGTTATTTTAAGCATGATCGCCAATTGTATTTGAATGGAAAAAAGTCCTCACCAAAAATTCTCTTGCTCACATTCATAGCACTAAAACCCTAACATTACGAATTCAGAGTTGTAGCTAGGACTATCCACACTCTTATCAGTCCACTGTTCATACTCTTTATGATTTAAAATCATCAAGAGCTCGAAAATTCATCAAAAATCACTGCTTTAAATCCGTATTTCACATGATAAACACCGAAAATTCGAGAAAAAATAGAAAATTAATCTTTTATAAAATTTAAATAATTAACCTAAGATAATTGTTCGAGCTTCATATTATAAATAGAACACCGATTAAAAGCCTTAATTTCCAGAAACAATAAAAATAATCAACAAAAGAAATTTTATCACAATTAAACACGTAAGGAAACAAAAATCAGAAGAACATAAAATAAAATGAATTATCTAATGACTACAATTTTCCATAACTTTGAATCACAAATTCAATTTACAGAATTATTTCATCTTTCCGAATTCTAACACTAAAATCAACAACAGAAAACCAATTATACAAGCGAAAAAATATATATATAATCAGTTTAATCAAATTTGAGCGAAATTCGCAAACAATATAGAATTGAATGAATGTAATGATGGAATTGAATTACGAAGAGAGAGAAAAACCTGAAGAGGAAATCTTCAATGAGAGATAACTGTGGAGCTGCTTTGGCGTTGTGCAACAATGGAAGACCTAAACCCCGAGGAGAGAGAAAATAGCTGGTTTATGAAAGAGAGAAAGAAGAAAACTGAGGAAGAAAAAGGAAGATAATCTCACTCTAGTGAAAGGGTGTAAATTGGGCTGAAGAAGATAGACGAATACATTGAATTGGGCTATTGGATTGTTTGTTGATTTATTTGTACAAATTTTTAACTAGACTCTAGTGTATGTAGCTTTTCCTACATCCCCTTTCTATACTACGTCGTTTTATCAAGCAGCTACTTTTGCATAATTTTTTTTCCTTCACTTCTTTACCTTCCATTCAAATAAGTACTGTATATAAACATTTTTATAGACTTCATTTTCTCTCTCATTTCTTTCACCAATTTCATTTTCTTTCTCCTCTTTTTCACCAATTTCATTTTCTCTCTCCTTGGTTTTTTTTTTTTGATTTATTGTTTTTCAATTTTCTCTCTCTTCTTTCAAGGAGATCAATATAAGTAATCCTTACTTTTAATGATAATTAGTCAATTGTTTTGATAATGCTTTGTTTTACAATTGTAATTGGATGATTATAATGATCTAATTTCATAGTTTTTGTTGTATTGACTTTAATTTTGATAATGCTTTGGTTTTGTTATTGTTGTTATTAGTTGATTAATAATTTAGTTTGTATTGTTCATCTAATTCGGGGTTTTTTTTTGTATTTTTGATTGTTGTTTATTCCAGTTTTGTGCGTTTCGTATGAGTATATATTGTTGTTTTAATTTTGCTATTCGATTATTTTTACCAGTTTTGTGCGTCGTAAAAAAATAATCTTAGTTAAAATAATGATCACTTCTGTAACAGTAAATGTTCATTTATATTTAATGTATTTTTTATGTATTAAAATACTTGTATATGTTTATTGTAGTTGTATTTGAATACTTATGTTGTACATGTGAATTTCAATTATTTTCATTGTTTTATAAATGCTATACATTTTAACTAGTGAATATATTTTATATTTGTTCTGTTGTAATAATGTTCATTTATGTAATTATAAATGTTCATTTATATATATACTTGTGTTTATGGAATTATATGTTGTACATGTGACTTTTTTTAATGATTATCACTATTTTGTAGTTTCAGAAATAATGTTCAGTTATATGACGATAGATGATCATTTATATTTTACATTTGGTAATTCAACTGTAATTGACCAAATGCATCATTATAATTGAACATTATTGCTAATGTAATTTATTACATGTTACATTATTGCAGTGGGAAAAAAGGATATTATTATTTTTGAAGAAGCAAGTAAGTCTGAGTTAGTGGGGAACGAAATAATTTAAAATTGCTGATGAAGTTTATGAAATGTGTTCAAATTCCAATTATATGGTCAAGCAAATAATCAAGTTGCTACTAGTGTTCAAAAGATCGAGTGCTCAACTTCCTCCCATTATCTTCCAAAAATGTTAAAATTCCTATAAATGCTCAAATGGCTCTAATATTTATAAGAATATCTTTAACCTTTTGTTATTAGGATCTTGCTAACGAGCGCCCCGGGGTGTTAGATAAGGTTAAATTATATTGGTTGAAATAGTATTAAGTTAGGAATTCATGACAAAATCATGCATCGTTCGGTGCAATTAATGTTAATTTTACTCTAATATTTGCACTTTAATTCTCTTATCTAACGCCCCGGGGGCGCTCATTAGCTTTTGCCTTGTTATTAAGTACTATTCTTCTTATTGAATATTAATTTTTTTTAAAGTCTTCTATAAGTGAATATTTTAGTATTTGTAATTGAGCATTTAGTTTTTAAAAATGATCATTAAGTTTTTGTAAAGAATCATTTAGCTTTTGTGAATGATCAAAATTGATTAACATAATACTTTACATAAAATCCGCAATTTTCATATAAAATTGTAAGAATTATTCTATAAACAAATAATACCTACTCCGTATCAAACTTTAAACGTATAAAATTAAATAGTTAATCACATAGAGTAATTCTGTTAACAAATAATATCTACGAAGTATAAGTTTTATCAACGAGCTATGGACATATATCTATCCATAAGTGAACATATTATATTATGCCTTTGCAAATCTTCTTGATGTTATTCTATTATTCTTAGACTCATGGTTTTTGTTCAGTATCATTAGTTGAGCAGTGTATTGCAATTTGCATCCCCAACCTTGTGATTTAGCCTACATGTTAATGAAAATGAATTGTTATTAAAATAAACAGTACATTAAGTGTTATATAATTGAACATTATGTGCTACAAAATTGAACACTAAATACTATAACTTGTTTATTAAATTTTACTTAAAATGTTAGCTTTAAAGGCACAAACCTAGATTTTCGACTTATTGTTCTCTTTTTGCCCAGCTTTTTAAGAAATTTCAAAGTTGAATTGATGGTTTATATATACTTCATTTATTTTATGATAAGAATGTATAAGTATAACTAAGCGTTATATTTATGAACATTTAGTTATCTATATTTGAACATACTTTTTTAATTATGTATGAATGTGTGTCTTGAGTTTGTTAAAAAAAAAAGTGGATCTTGAGTTGTATGTAGGTATACTATCTTCTTTTCACTTAAAATGGTACTTCCTCCATTTTTCTTTTATTGCACCATAAGGACTTTTACACTATTCACTTTATCTTCTTTGACCATCTTTTGTGATTTATCCTTTAGGAAAAACATAGTCATGTGGGATCTAGTTACATTCGTCTTGAAATCTACTTTTCAAATATCAATTTTTTATAATTTTCACAAAAGTATAATTAAAGATATTAATAGCCAAAGTAATGCATTGACAAGCGTGAAACACTTTATACTAATAAATGTTCATATATTACAATCCAGCTTATGGTGCAATAAAAAAAAGAACGGAGGAAGTATAAAAATTACAATCCAGCTTTGTTTGTTATGCATTTTATAAATGTTCATATATGTGTGTAGAAATGTTCATTATATTTTAAAATCATGAACACATTAATAAATGTAAAAGCAGATATATAAACTATTAATTAACATTTAAATGAATGGTATTTCAAGTTTTGTATGCATTCATAATATTTTATACTAATCATTAGCACATATTTAAAAAAAAAAAAAATCAAATTAGAATATGTTAATGAATACATATTAACATGTAATTATAGGTAAACATGTGAATAATTTCATTATATGGAAATGAACGTATAGTGCTTTGTAATTGTTCAATTTACCTATGCATTCCAGATATTATTTTTTCAATTGCAACACACGATGCTTGTATATCTTTTAAAAGTGTTGGATCTACAATAGGACATTTTTTCTCACTTTTTTTTTTTCTTTTTCTAATTTTATGTAGAGGTGTTTCATCATCACTGTTTTTACATTATATATTTATTTATAAATAATTTTTTTGAAGAAATATTTGTAAATTTTAAAAGTTCGAGTAAATATATATTTACATTTCTGAAGAATCATTGTTTTTCTTCTCTGAAATAGATTTTTCCGAACCGAAAATTAAATTGAAACAAGTATATGTTAATATTACTAATTATTTGCCTCAAAAAAAAAAAAATTACTAATTATTCGAAATTAAATAGTCGCTTTGAAATTGATCAATAATTAACATAAACACTTACATTGATACATTTTCAGCGATTGAAGTATCAATTTGTTTCTCGGAACACAATCACAAACAAATTCTCAAAAAATTAGGGTTTGTATTTATATCTATTTATTTTTTTTGCTATAAACATGAACATTAATACTTACTCTTTTGATTTCCGCTTGTTTTTTTTTTTTTTTGGTGAAATTTGCTTCAATTGTTTGATTTCGTCTTTGAAATCTGCCATTGTTGAAGTTTTAGTGCTTTAGATGCGAGAGAAAATGGAGAGAGAAAATGAAAAGAGATTGAGATGAAATGAAAGTTTTTGTTTTATTTTTTTTTTTTTTTTTTTTTTTTGTGTGTGTGGGGTAAGGGAGTTTACTGACAGTTTTTTTTACTTAGGATAGTAGGGTGTATTGTGGCCTTTGTGGGGAGTAATGGTACGCTGTGTTTTGTGGGGGTGTAGGGATAGTTCCCTACCATAGGGTCTAGCCATAAATAATTAGATTTATTTGATAGCAATGAAGCCCATGGTCCAGTTAGAGACTTGGATTTTACCCGCATGGTCACACTTCTCATTTTGCGATTGTAAAAGTTTGTTCTATATCATTGTCTATTTTTTGATTTTTTGTTTTTGTTAAAGAACTATCTCAACCAAAAGCTTAAGTTAATGGTTGAGGGCCAATGATATATTTTATACTCTATCACGCCTCCTCACATGAGAGCTCTTGGGCTTGAAATGTGGATGCAGAATGGGCCTTTTGCATACCCATCGCGAAATATTCTACTTGAAAGAGGGAGTGGATGAGATTTGAATTCGTGACCTTTGTGTCACGCTGGCTCTGATAGCATGTTAGTGGACCAATTCAACCAAAAGTTTAAGCTTATGGTTGAGACCTAGGAATGTGTTATACTCTATCTGTTTGAGATTTCAAAAGTTGCTTGATTAGAAATACAAATTACGAAGTAGAAAATGTTTTGTTTTGCAATTGAGCCAATTCACAACACTTGATGAGAAATTGAGAGGTGTGACTATGTCTAAGAAAATACATCGATTTTTCAAAAGGATTATGAAATTTTCTCATAATATTACTAATACACGAGGTATTGTCTAACTGTTTTTGAACTAAGATTATAAAGGAAATCTTATTCAATTCAGGTCATAGTTGTTTGAAAAATGACATTTGTATCATAGATTAAACCATAATTTGCTTTATCATCATTCAAAATAATTCATCTTAATTATAGCAAATAACCTCCAAATTAGAGGCTTAGGATTGTATGTTTGTATCGTGCTTATGAATTGGCTAGACCCAAGCATGACATGAAAGTCGTGTCTAGCCAACCAATCCTAAAACTATGCCATATATACGGAACCCATCCTTCATCTATTCGTTTCAGATCATGTTATGTTTTAATTTGATCAAGCTCGATTTAGCTAGTCATCGTCCTTTTTGTACCATACTATATATCCTACTCCACTACCATGCCAACCTCAAACAAAGAGAAAAAAACAAGCTTTGTCAATGGAGAGGTCATCACTGTAAATAAATAAAT